GGAAAAGAAAATTACTATGGAATTTTCGCTAGTGAATTTTCAAGTCCCAATTACAAAAGATTCGAGAACCCTAGCGTAATTCAAATCAAATTACGACAGTTCAACTGTGAACATTCTGCATAATAGTTGGCTAAACATTTGCGTTAAAAATAACGATGATAACGTGTTGGATAACGCAATTAGAAGTTGTAGACGTCGCGGTGTCGCGTTCAGCTTCACTTGACGTGTTTATCTACAGTGTGGTTTGCCCCACAGTTTTGCGAGATACCACGAGCGCGGTGCTTAATTACTATCATTCGGATTTAATTAATTAATTCCGCGCTCAATGCGCCGAGGATTTATCACGAGATTAGTTGGTGCTCGATAAAATTAGTCCCCACCGCTCGTCCGCTAATTAGACGTAAAAATTCGGGCGTGGGGAAAGTAATAAACGCAAAAGAACTGAAGAGGTGAGAAAGAGGCCGCTTAATTTAATTCGCTGGAAAGTTTATGTGGTCGATGAGTCGCCAATGCTACGCTGTTCTGCTAGAATTTTATAATGGCGGACAATGGCGAGTCGCTCATCGATCTCTTCAAGACTTCCGTGCTGATAAGAGTTAGAGACGAGAGACGCAGATGATATCCGATTTGGAAAGTGTCCAACGGCATTCAACATATAGCGATGTATTACCCACGAGATACGAAACCCTCATAAGGCAGCGAGCAATGTCGATACACAGAGAGAGAGATGACTCTCCTTTGTTCGACCCCTTTCGCGAACTCTCGTTCGAAAATGTTCGTCGTTCTCCGCCCTCTCGGCTCCAAACTCGGCGATTTGTATGCATGAGCGAAGTATTGCAACGCGACCAGGTCAAGTTCATCATTCAGGCAAATGAAGAAGCGACCGAGTGTGCGATGACGAAAATCCGTATCACTTTGATTTTGAGAATTTTACAAAATCGCCGCTTTTTATTCGACAATCGATCGAAGGAAAAACGATCTCTCATCTGGGAGATTAAAATAGGCAAATTAACGACAGCTGTCGGAAAAGAATGCGAATTCAATGATCTTTCATGAATGAAGCTTCCGATTTTTGCACACCGCGACGTATCTAATTAATTATTCAGAGGACACGTTAATGAACGTTTCGGAAGATCAGTCGCCGGCTTCCCAGAGATGAAATTATTAGCGGCAAGTAGAATTTCATGGGCCATGAAAACCAGTTGGTTACCTCTGGTAAGATCGATGAATCTTGCACCGATATTTATCGCGGGTATTTCGCGTTCCGCGTGTCGCAAGGGGCTGAACTTTATCGCCGGATGCGATCAGCCGACTCGCGCGCGCGGTGGATTTATCGACGTTTACAGCATCGAGGTAACCCTGACATCGATTCCCGGCGGGCGTGTTGACAGAGTGATTTCGTAATACAAATAGATGCACGTAATGGTGCC